GCCACTCCCCATAAACGGTACTGTTAAAAATACTAAAAAGCGCGATAAATCAATCACTAAACACGCCAGAGACATTAAATTTTATTCTCTGAGCATGGTATTAAATTGGCTTTATAGAACCGCGTTCAAAAATTAGGTCAGGGGCGCTGGCACAGCCACTTTTAGTGAAAACCCATAGTCTTGAGATTGCTCAACCGATTGTCAACCAAATTTCGGTGCATAATATCTTCTTTTCATGTTTCTATGTTCATATTGCGAAAATGCGAAATCAGACTACAACACACGCTTAGCTTCCCAGTGTAACATCTTAAATCGAACCCAAAACTGTTTCAAAACCCCTAAGTACTAATATGTGGACCCCGTGCCTATAGTTGACCTTCTACGAAAATTATCAGTCAATCCACAAGAAATCCAAACGAGTAGTACCATTTGACTTTGCGAGAGTATAAAATGTTCGGTTACATTTCGAAACTTAGCCCTTCCTTAAACTTGTTTGGATAAATTTGTTCGCGCCCGAATTTGTGTATTGTTTAGGGTTGTTGTATGTGCTTTAGTTTCGCGGCTCAATTATGTTATGGCTTTAGTTTGATTGATTTTTTTTTTTTTTTTTTTGTTTTAGGTTCCGCCCCCGCGTTTTGTGGGTTTTTGCTTTGTTTAGTTACATATCCAGATGTATGTAACATATAATGGGTAGGTTTTGTAATATTTGTATTTCTTTTCACAATTTAAACTTTTTGTTCTAGCCTTCTTTAGTGGCTTTGCTCTTTTTAGTTTTTACATATTTTTGGTAAACTTTGGCTACTGTATGTATGTGTGAATTATATTAGTATTTTTCGAGTCACTGCACTTTCTTTGTTTTTAACTCTACTGCACTCTTTTGCCGTACATTTTTTTCACAAAACTGTTTAATTTTTTCCTAGGACGTAACATTCTAAGGCGGTTAATTATAGTGCCTTTCGTTTAGCTCGAAGGACCATGATATTTGGGACCCAGTCACGGGACACACTCAACACGGTAAACAAGATATTTCAGAATGCACCAAAATCGCAAATTAATGCCTGTTTAAGTGTAATTTTTATTATTTTCTATTTATCGTGCTCTTGTTACTAAATATTAATATATATGTTTACTATACATTCGCAATCAAATCAAAAATGTAAAGCTAACGCGCGAGGCGGCGAGGATCCAAGCATGTATCAAAATCACTGGTGGAGCTGCGATTAATTTTGACACCGAAAAAAGATTAGTGTATAATGTCCAGTCACTGCATCGAGGTACGTAGCGAAAACAAACAAGGCAAATGACGTTTGGAATCGTTGTTCATCGGAAAGTTGTATACCGCGAAAAGTTGATGTGGCGCTTAGGCCCGTAGACGATAGCGATGATGATGTGAGGCGATATCCTCGTCTCTTTTGTTTAGATGTACAGGTGCCGTGTTGATGGTTGTGTTTCATCGAGTTGAGAACCTGTGATTGTTCTCTAGTGTGGTGTGCTTGGCATTAGGGTTGCGCCAGTTGTTACCGGAGAGAGTGTGGTACTGAGGCTTAGCTCATTAAACCCACAAGTACTTATTGCACATCAAGTATTTTGCCTAAGTTCAAATCCGTATCACAGATATTTTTATTCCTTATTTTATTTTAGTAACCTTTTTTTTTTTAAATAACATTTTAATTAGTGTTATTCCTTCCATTCCTTTTTGTTTATTTTAAATTTTTGTATACTGGAAATGGAAAGAAATATATGGAATTGAAATGTGGTGACCCTGTGAGGAAGTACGCAGGGAAGTAATGTTACCTGCCTAAAATTTTTGTCAAATTGGTTGATCAGCTCTCGAGATATGGGTTTTTTCACCCTAATGTGGGCCCGCCCATAATTCCCAAATTTTGACAACGGCGCTTTAAGCCTTCTTCTATCATTTGTGGGTATAAAATTTTTATGTCTCTGACGCATTTATTTTTTTCGATTTTATCGCCACTTTTAGTATTTATAACAAATCCCCGTTGTTATGAGGAGTGGGCCGGGGTTATCATGCCGATTCCTGTTGTTCACACTGGTCGTTAGGTTCTAAAAAGATTTGTCCGAGTGAATTTGAGTATTACTGAGATTTAGTGTTATATACACATTTACAAAATTTTAAGTTTACATATCATTTTAAAATATTTTTTAATGAAATATTGCGATATGTACATACATACATATGTACAATTTGATTTTGGGTCAATAATGTTGGGTTGTTGCAAAAGCTAATTACTGATTTCTTTTGAAAACTGATAAAACATTTGTTGTAGAACATAATACATTTATACTGTACATATGTTTGTTGTTTAATAAATGGTTCTAATTAAACATATATGTACCATAATATGTATGTTATGATTATCTGTTTCGACTCTGACTCACATTTAAACCAAAAATAAAAACAAAAATTGTAGAAATTCCCAAAGACTATCTATATTTACTCGCGGAACATTATTCAATGTATAAGTGCGAGTTATATCAATTGCAGTATTTTCCCACCACAAATTTACGGACTATGATTATCATTTCCACTTATATCAGTGATCTTGTAAAAATCAGATCAAATACTTCCCTTAACGACCTGTGTAATTGAAATTAAAAAAAACCGGCGATTCGTTCCTCGTTTACCAGATAGTGAAAATTATGAGTACATTCTCACTGGTCGGAGTACAAAGGATATAATTTACGAAATTTAGAAGTTTTTAATACATACTCATTTTGGTTTCGGAAAATTTTGTATATTTTTTTTAATGTAGTTAAGCACTGCTTTACCCGCGCCAATTTTCGTAAACACCTCTACCCGCGGGGACGGTCTCACAGACCATATATTGAACCAGGCGTTTATTTTATTTAGTATGAAAACTATTAAAAAAAATTTTTTTTTTCTTAAAATTAAATTTCATTCGGCGTTTCTTTTTCGGTCAAAACCTGAGATTAGAACATCAACAAATAATAATCTTGGTTTCCAACTCCTAGTCATCGAAATATCTCCGGAGACTTTTATTCGACTATTTCTTCAAAACGCAGAAAAAAAGCCAAAATCGCAAAAGTGCCTATTTTTTATTATCTGCCTCAGAACAGTCGCTATCTCTGAGAAATCTAGATCTTTTTAAATTCCAAGTGGATTGCAAAAACTGATTAAACTTTTGCATTAAGCGCTAGTAGCCAACCATGTTTATTGTTGTTCGGGCATGAGCAGCTTCTTGGGGAGAGAAGAAACGTATGCAAAATTCAGATCGATATCTCACCACACTGAGACAAATGAAGGATAAAGGATAAATCGTCATGCTGATTCTTTTATGTATTAATTTATAGGGGTCTCCCGGCGTTTCCTTCTGGGTGTTTACCAAACTTCGTGGCAAATGCCTTGCAGTTACGGACAATCATCGGATTTGGGGAATATTTATAATAGAATTTTGCGATAGGTTCCACACTATGACCAGTAGGATCTCTTTAATGGAGTCGACTTTTATAAGAACTATCCGCTCACGCTGGTAAAAAACCTTAAGTACTACGTTTTAAATGTAAAATTTTTCCTGTATAACGAATATTAAAATCTAATACTCAATTTGAAGGCCAAAAGCGAAAAAAGTAACAAGTGTTTTTAATTGTTCTTTAGTGTTAGTTAGGCCAATTGCAGTCTTGTGGGAAAATCTGATAAGATGAGTTCTTTATTTTGCTTATTGTTTTTTCTTTTACACGATGCCAAGTTTGCAAATTGTTCATTTGCTGTGGGAAGCAGGAAAAGCCGCACCAAAAAATAGTAAGACTATCGATTAGAGATAAACAAGCACATACCCGTAGTTTTTTCCATCGAAAATATTTAATAACTTAAGGTAAATACATTACTCAACGCAGTAGAAGATTCTTTTTCAAAGTTCAGAATGATGTCTGATTGGACCAGCTGGCAGTTGAGTTCAAAAATGCTGCCGTCCTACATCACTACATTTATCTCGTTTTTCGGTTGTAGTTTTTTAGAAAGGTTTCTGTGTCAAAGACGCCATAAGTCATACGAAGTTACTAGTGCTCCAAAAGGATCGCATGAGTATAAATTGTATAGATGCTGTATCACGCGAAAATTTTAAGATCTCTTAACTCACTGGCAATTCACAATATTTCTTTTCGATAATGTCTCATCGATCGCCAATTTTACCAGCTAATTTTGGTCGACCCTTGCGGACATTCTGGCCGTTATCAAAGACAAACTTCATCTATCGATTTTCCAAAGAAACGTCTTACAGGGTTTGCAATACTAAGGGTGCCCGAGGCCAGAAACTTAATCAGCAGCCTACGTAGCGTTCGTCCATATTCAATTAGGTCTCGGTTAATGGTTGGTTATAAAGAGAGGGCCGCTAATACATATTTGGACCCACAAATCGTTTAGGAAAAACTGCACTTATCTCTCTCTGGTTTAGATGGGATTTTGGGTTAAAATTTAAAACTTTTGTATTCAGTTTTTTATATACTTGACCTCAAATAATTAAAATCAATATATTTGTAAGGTATTTTAATTTTAATAATTCTAATAACAAATTTTCTCTTCATGTCAGACATTTTGAAATAACTTTAATATCAGCTGAATGTTCTTGCCCGCATTGCCAACACAATTTGAAAATATGAAATAGGCTAACTCGTACTTTACACTATCTGTTGCGTCAAGCGACTTCTAGAATACTAACTTAAATATTAAATTAATTTAAAATATAAAATGAATTATTAAAATATTGTAATTGAATTATAAAGTTTTTTGTTATAAAGAAAAAGTACTTACTTGGCAACCCTATGTGAAATACTCACCTTAATCTATTTCAATAATTAATGGAAGTTCGAAATGTAATCATATGATGCTTACCCTTTTTTGTACATATTTACATTACCACTCGTTTAAGCCGTTAGCTTAAGTTTAGGCTAAGGGTTTCTAAGAAACGGAATAAAGAAGGGAGTTGTAATAAAACCACACTCGCGAACGCACGTCTTTATTAGAAAAATAAGCTCTTCCAATTTCATTTAAATAACTCCCACATTGGCCGCTATATGTGGTATAAAGGCAATGGCAAGTTCGAAAATCTTTATATTAGGTATAGGGTATATAACTATCAAAGATTCCCGATATTCCCGAAATTCCCGAATTCCAGAAATCCCATGCATTGACCGATATTTTCGACAAAAATCAGTCATACGCACTGGCGTCCACGTATTCGGTATGTGTGGGCTTGAACAGTTAAGGTCCGATTTTTACTTAATTTGTCTTACCCACTCTGAAAACAGCGTTTCGAGAAAAAATGAGTATTTTTAAAAGCCGATTACACTTAAAATAAAAAATTAGTAACAGTTAAGTTTGGATATAACTGTACATTAAACATTCTCGTAAAATGTAAGACTGTACAGCTCAGAAATCGACCAAAATTTTACATCAGTATTAAGTACGCGATGTGAAAAAATTTGAAGAGTGGCCAAACGAAAAGACAAGTGAGTTAAATCAAATAGGGTGTATTAATTCAAAGACAAAAACAAGAAGCAACGTTAACTTCCGTTGCACAGAAGCTAGAAAACCCTTCATAATATATGCTTTAGTGTTGCGATTTGAACAATATGTTCGGAGATTGTAGTGTTACCTTGGACAATAACTCATGCCAAATTTAGTGAAGATACTTTGCCAAATAAATAATTTCCATGCAAGAACTTGATTTTGATGGGTCAGTTTGTATAACAGCTGTATATTACAGTGCTCCGATATCGCTGGTTCCGAGAAATGAGCAGCTCTTGATGAGAAAAAGATGTGTGTAAAATTGCATATGGATATCTCAAAAACTGAGAGATTATTTCGCATAGATACGTATAGAAGGACAGACATACGGACATTGCTAAATCAACTCAGCTCGTCTCATATACATATATACATATATATATACTTGTATACATATATATATATACTTTATAGAGTCTCCGACGTTTCCTTTTGGGTGTTACAATCATCGCAGCGAACTTAATATACTTAAGCAACCAAACCAAATTGAGATCTAAGAAAGTGGAAACTGCATATTTGTGAACATTTTTAAGTGATAACTCTAAGAACACCAGCGATCTTCAGTTATACATATAAGAGAAACAAACAGGTTCATATACATACACATAAATCTATAAATAATATGAATAATTATATATGAAGAAACAACAACATATTTATATTGCAAAGCAGAGATAAGAACTACAATATAAAAATTTCAAACAAGTAATACCCTACAGCCGTCTCGGAATAGCTGTCGAATTATTTTATAAGGAATCATAATTTTACGAACATATTTTAAAACGTTTTTGTATAATATTTAAGTAATTCATACATTCTTGAAAAAAATACACTAGTGGAAAATAATTGCCGTTAAGCGGGTTTCTTGCTATTGCACGAATAGAACAGCTGAACAACTAACTGTTACATGATTCCTAAGTTAGATAATTACAAAAATCAAGCCTATAAATATATTTCTTTGGTAATGAATTTTATAAAACTTAGCGACTAACATATGTATATGTTAGATATATTATATAACGAAAACTGGTATGCATGTATCGATAACACTCAGAACGTTACTGTAGGTAACATACAAACGCATAAAAGCTCCGAGTTTGGCAAAATATTTATTTCGACAACGACAGCCACGGTCTGCACAAGTGCTGTAATTGTTTGTGCTTATTTAAAAACTCAGTTAAAAATTCCAAAAAAATTAAAAATGAATATATGCGATTTATATATATTTGTTTAGATGCAAATATTTCTAATGTGGAGCAAATAATGAAGAGCGTAAGTGTTATTTACAAAAAAAAGAAAAAAAAACTCATTTATAACCAGTGCTGTAAAATTTTTTCCACACCACCAGTCTCACCACAGGTTTCTGATGCTCAGCAGAATGCCTTATTAGTGGCACAAAAAATGAGAAACGAACTAATAGATCATCGTGGTAACGTAATAGAAACAACTACTGAGGGATCATGGTTTTATCGACATTTTCACCTATGAGCAACAAGCGAGATGTAATAAAATATTAAAACAATAACAGTATTTGACTCTTGCGAGAAACAACCAAGTTATTTTCGTGTACTTATTTATATAATAAGTTGTTTCAGTCAAAAAGTTTAGTGAGCGCCGACACATAGAAAACTTAGTGAAAAATAGCATAAAATTTATTCATGAAACTTAAAAGGGCAGTGATCGTTTCAAAAGAAAAATGATTTTTGGGATTTTCTTCAGGGAAACTACTGAATTAAATGTTTTAAAATTTTGAATATGTTCATATAAAATTTCATTTTTCTCTCAAAAAAAAGATGATTTTTAACAATTATATATTTTTTAATCGAAAAAATGGAGGGATTGTACAGTGAAACAAAAAAAGTAAAAAAAACATCAAAGCAATTGAATGATTTTTCTTTCGAGTCAAAACTGCAGCCAATTTGAAAAATGAAGATTTGTGAAAAACGCGTTGATGGAGCTGATTGAACTGCGCTGCTACACTTTAGAAGACTGTGACTTAAAAACTATTTGAGATATCGATTTAAAATTCCTGTATGTTGTTTTTAAAGTTATAGATTATCGAAATATGCAAAAAACAAGAAATTAACTTTCTCGAAATTTTACACTAATGTGTATCCCTTAAAGCGCGAATAAATTTTTGTTGTTTTATGAACGTTCAAAAAGTTATACAAAATATCTATAAAATATATAAAATTGAAAGGTTTTTGTTCGCACTTCGACCAAAATGTTAAGGCTTCGGACACCGTCGTACATATGTTATTTTCTTCAAAGCGAACGCCATCGACGCGAACTAACTAAGTAAACGTGGGAGTAAAGTAGGAAATTGAAGCTCATACCATTTCACTAAAGGCTTTATGTCAGCGATTTCTAATGTTTTTTTGACAACTCAGACGACGATAATGGGGAAAGAGTTGTTGAAAGTGTTATTTGCCTTTTCTAAATGACGTTGTTGTAAGAAACAAAAAATCGTAGTAGATAATTTAATTGGTGAAAAGTTC